AACCGGGGCCCTGCTGCTCAGAGCTGGCGTCTCAAGCCAGCTCTTAACCAATATGCCACTCGGCCGGCCCTAGGCAATGATTTCTTAGATATGACACCAAAGAAACAAGCACACACACACACACACACAAGTTATATTGGCCTTCATTGGACTTTCATAAAAAATAAACTTTTGTGTTTCAAAGGATACAAGCAAGTGAAAACACAATCCACTGAATGGGAGAAAATACTTGCAAATCATATATCTAATAAAGTGTCCAGAACACAGGCATACCTCAAAAATATTACATGTTCGGCTCTAGACCACCACAATAAAGCAAATAACACAAAAGAGCAAGTCATACTATTTTTGCTGGTGTATCTTGCCTTCAATTTGTAAAAACATGCAACATCAATAAAGCACAATAAGACGAAGCAAAATAAAATGAGGTATGCCTGTATATAAAGAATTTGCAACTCAACAATAAGAAATAACCTAGACATTTCTTTCAAGAAGATCTACAAATGGCCAATAAGCACATGAAAAGATGCTCAACATCTTCTGGCATCAGGGAAATACAAATCAAAACCACAATGAGATACCACTTCACATCCACTAGGATGCCTAGAATAAAAAAGATGGACAATTGGGGCCAGCCCAGAGCCTCAGTTTATTAAGAGCGCGAGCTCTGAGCAACAGGGTCGCCCGTTCAATTCCCACATGAGCCAATGAGCTGCGCCCGAGCTGAGCTGCCACTGAGCTACCAACAGGTGGCNAAAAAAAAAAAAGGCTTAAAAATCCCCTGGCTAAATCCCTGAGAATATTATAAACAGGAAATGGATACACTGTAAAGACAGAATTAGGAACCAGGAGTCCAAAAGAAGAAAATAATTCCTAATTTCTAGGGTTTCCCTTTGCTGTGGATTGAGGGAAGATAGCTAGTTTCAAGCAGTAGAAAATACGAGGTGAGAACATGACCTTTCACTCCACTGGTCACCTGGCCTCATGGGTACAAACCCTCTTGGCGGAAACCCCTGACTCCCTTTTCTCCTTTCTGTATACTGCGCAAAGATAGTCAGCTGCGGTGTGAGGGCACTGGGGACTGTTTCCTTCATGAAAACAAACATGCAATGGAAAATGTGTAGGGGATAGATCAAGAAAAGCCAACTTACTTGGAAATTGTTAAAATTCTCCCTTATCCTAGTGTAGTGGTTCTCAAATGTGAGTGGATGTTTACAAAGCAACTTGAAATTTTGATTTTAAAATCTCAATTCCTAAGACAGTCAAAGATCCCTAGAGATTCAAAGTCCGGGAATTTTCCTCCTAACTCTAGAGCAGAGTTTCCCAAATGTGACATGAGATGAATCACCTGGAATGCTGTTTTACACACAAGCATTTCCTGACCACCCCCTGCAGATTGATTCCATATGTGTGGGATGGGGCCCTAAAATCTGAAAGTGAAACAGGGGTCCCAACTGATTCTTCCAACCAGGCACATTTGGGAAACATTGCTCTGTGAGGAGGGTGCACGTAGGGAGGGGGAGGGAGGGGTTCAAAGAGTTCCCCAAGTGTTTCTGACATACGCCATCTACCCACATCCTGGACTGACGCCTCCCCTTAAAGCCAATACCCTAGAGACAGTGTCATCACAGAACAGGGTCAATAACTGGGGCTAAAATTCTATTTCCACTTACTACAAAATGGTTATACCTGGATAAATGTCTGAAGACCTTTACACAACCTTATGTTTTTATCAATTACAAAGAAATGAAGTTTATTAAACTCAGTTAAAAGTTACATGATTAGCCGTGTTTCCAACACCAGAAGGCTCTAGAAAGTCTATTTTGAGGAGATAAGCATATTGCAAGGGCCACTTATTAGTCATTTAGCTGTTACTCAGAACTTCCTCATCTTTCCTTTCAATGTACCCACATGGATTTTGGTGGATCCAGTCATCCCCAGAAGCAGAACAGTTGTCTAAACTGATGGTCTAATGCTAAATTTAACATGCTCTATTCACTTGCCAGTCTTCAGAAGAAATCTTTTCAAAGAGTAACTCACAGACTTCCATCTCCTGCTCCTCACACCTGGCTGAACCTGCGTCATTAGAAGCGATGCAGTAATACTGCCCAGAGTCCTCCTTGTGAACGGCGCTGAAAACCTGGTTCAGGAAATAACAAGGAATCGAGGCGACCAATCAACAGGGCAGACCTCTAACGGGTTGGGGGAGAAGAGGTTGCCCCCGCCTGCCAACCTGCTAAGTCCACAACATGGTAAAATGTCTGCTTGTCTGCTCTTGGTTTCCCTTCGGCTTTGGGGTCACTGTTCAGGTTCTTTCCTGATATTCTCTCCTCTCTTGCTTAAGTGCTTCTGAACAACAGATCCCCTTTGGTATACGGAGATATCAAAGCCCAGCAACATCCAGAATGAGATGCTGAGCTTAACTTTTATTCAGGAAAAAGGACCCTAGTAATGACTGTTCCTTAAGCAACATTTTGGCAATACAAATAGAGGATCCTACTGTGAGCTGGCTCGTTCATTACTCCACATAGGTGGTTAGACCGCAGATGAGGAGACCCAGATGTTGTGAAAGCCTGCTGTGATATGCTGCCGGGATCAGTCGGTCTGCATGCATGACCAAACTGGTTTCTTTTCCCCACCCCTTTCCACCAAGACTCCTACATTATTTTGAAGCAGACATATTTTATCCACAAATATGTATGTAACCCTAGATGCTATGCACTTTTTAATCAACTACAATACCATTATCATGCCTAAAGCAATGAACAATTCCTTAATATCAAGTATCCGTCCAGTAATCAAATTTCCCTGATTGTCTCATGAGTTTGACAGTCGGTTATTCCAAGCAGGACCTTTTCCTGTAGAATCTCTGGCATGGATTTTTAGCTCCCATCTTAGAATATTTCATTGTCTTTCCTAATAACTGCTCTTTCCATAACAGGTTTCCCTTGTCTCAACAAAGACATTTCCATCCCCACCTCTCAGAAGAGACCTTACCAGAGTGCCTGTTTCAGAGTTTAAGAGAAAAGAGGAATTTCGAAATCGGGGGTTGGCTCTGGAATCTGTGGGCAGCAGCACGTCGTTGCGGTACCAGCTGTAGTGTGGTGGGGGGTAGCCCTCCTTCTCTTGGCAGT